CAATTTGGACTGATCTGGCTCTTGTGTTTAACTCGCATACTCAATGATGCAGTCACAGTGGTTCTCCAGTTAACAGCTCATTGGAGGGGAAGATTATCAGTTAGTTATGACTTACATTTCTGTCTGCTTGTCATAAAAAGCTTTTGCATTACTTCAGAAGACTTGGAATATGAAGTGGAATATTAAAATATATTTTCCCCCTTAAGGACTATAAAATAACAAATAAGGCCACTATAACCCATAAAGGATCTTTAAAAATGTAAAAATGAAATAAACACCAATATAATTTTCACTTCCGAGTGAACAATTCCAGATAAAACTTGTTATTTCTCAGTTAATTAACCTCTGAAATTCTATCTGTCCCAAATACGGCAAGTTCTAAAAAAATCATTTATGGTTGGCTTTCCAGCTGAATTGTCTTGACTGAAAGGAGATGAAGAAGGAGGGGGAATCTTCCCTTTTGATCTTTTTAAAGGGGTGCAGGGGGCTCTGCGTGGCTGGCAAACACATTTAGCCTGTAATTGTTCAGATCATTCAGACAATCAGCCTTAGAAATGCATGGGCAAACAAAAGATTACAGCTCCAATTGGAAAAGTCAACAGTTCTTCCATATGTCCCATAGACAAACAGTCAAACTGTCATGTCTCATCTTCTCTTTAAACAATGTTTGCATGTCAATTATAGTTTTGCGATTGGTTGCTGGCTTGTGCGCTAAATCTTATGCATATTGGCTTCAGTGAAATCATTATGACCGCATTATATATTTTGAATCAGATTTACAATGAGAAGGCTTCTAATGAATTGGCGATTGTGAACACTACAGATGTGGGTGCTAGGCAGAGCATTCAAGGTGGACTTATCCGCATCATTTCAACCCATGTTTCCTCCATTGAGCTCCAATTTGCAGGAAGGGTTTTATGACCAGGGTTAGGCAGAATGTGAAGTAAAGGCAGCTTAGAGGTCTGGGTCATCCCATTCTCTCACCCCTGCCATTCTGCCAGTTCAGCAGGGGGGCTTGTACAAGTCTAAATTGCTCCCTAAGCAAATTAAGAAGGTAGCCCTGTTTGTTTATCAGGGGTTAAGGATGACGGTTGCAGCTCAATAAAATGGATGAAAGCCGTTTTGCGTCCCCTCTTTCTCAGTGGAATTGCTCTTCATTTGCATGGCATCACAAGCTGCACAGAAGGTGCGATTTTTCCCACAACCTGCTGGATCCCCTGGGTTTCTTACAACTTTATGGTCATGGAGACAAATTTAAGGGGAAACTGAGGCCTGATAATGCAGAATAACCGTGGCAAATGATGGAGGTCTGTTAATCAATAGCGGACGTCATCAATGTAAAAACACTGAGAGTCAATAGGTGGTACCGGTGACTCTTTTATTTGATTACTATTGGCAAAATAAAACCAATTGAAGTGCTTTAGTACACTCTTGAAAATAAAGATTCCAACAGGGGGGGGTTCATGATGATTGAATAGAAGAACAGCTTTTCTTGAGTTCCTCAAATCGTTCAGTTAAAGAGTTGTTAAAAGAGTGAAAGAATAAATGTTATTTATTCATGTAGATGGTTACAACTTTTAACATTCATGAAACTTTTACATTGGACAGGTTTTATAAAATATAATCATTTATTTATTTATTTCTCTTTAATGGAAAGTTTCTTTTTTTTAAGTAAAGTTATTTTTTTAAAGGTGTGAAGAACATTTAAATACCCTAAAACACTTTTTTTCACTGTGAAGAACATTGTTTAATGAACAGATTCTATGGATGTTAAAAGTTCTTTCATAGATGGCAATATATATCTGCAGTATATATATATATATATATATATATATATATATATATATATATATATATATGCACTTTCTTGTAACATCTACTGTAACTTACTGTAGATAATTTACAGCGAAAATACTGTATTTACATTTATCTTGCTCTATTTACAGCATTTTATGTTTATATTTACTGTAAAATATACAGAAATGCAACTTTAAAACACAGTAACATGCTGCATAAATGTCCTACAGTGAAATACAGTTTATACTACAGTTAAATATTGTGTAATTTACAAAATTCATTAACAGTATATTTTAAATGACATGCAGATTTAGGCTTTAAATTTAAATATAATTATAAGAGGCGACGTGGTAGCACAGTGGATAGCATGATCGCCTCACAGCAAGAAGGTCGCTGGTTTGAGCCTCGGATGAGTCAGTTGGGATTTTTGTGTAGAGTTTTGCCTGTTCTCCCCATGTTCGCGTGGGTTCCCTCTGGGTGCTCCGGTTTCCCCAACAGTCCAACGACATGTGCTGTAGGTGAATTGGGTAAGCTGAAATTGGCCGTATTGGATGTGTGTGATTGAGTGTGTATGGGTGTTTCCCAGTGATGGTTTGCAGCTGGAAAGGCAGCTGTTTATATTTATTTTGTTTATCCATTTTAATTGCCGTTTTGCCTTTACAGTTTCACTTTAAATGATACTGTGATCGATAAATATTTATTGTATTGGTAATACTTATTAATTATTTAGTTTATTTATTTATTAAGTTTACAATTTATGCTATTAACTACTGGATTATTATCTGCTTGTTATGAAGATATTAACTAGTAGTTATAAAGTAAGTTCTTATTATGCATCCCTAATCCTACCCAAAACCTAAACCCAATTTTCTATCTTACTAACTATTATTAAACAGCTAATTATTAAGCTAGTAATGTTAGTTCGTGGTTGTTAATACCATAAATTGTGACCTAAAGTGTTACCAATGGATTTTAAAGTAAGCATTGCTTGAAATTTGTGGATGATTGCTTGATTTGATCATGTTTTCTAAATCCCTTTTTATATATTGAAATGGCACTTTGGCCACACAGAAAATAAGCACTGTAATCTTCATTCTGCTTATTTTGTTTGATTTAAACTGTGTATGTGTTGTCTCATAAATAGTTTATTTAGAAAAACCAAGAAGCTTTTTTTTCCTAATTGATTACCATTCTTTGAATTGGATTACACCATTGGCCCATCACAGCTGAATGGGACTACTAGAAAGTCAAAGAAACATTCTAATGCTCTGGCCTTTCTAGGAGTTTGACCTCTGCACCCTGGCTGAGCTACTAGCATAACATGAGGCAGAACACATGGCATGTGTATAGTGGACCATAAAAACAATGACAGTCTCCACTAATGTACCTGCATTACACACTTTTCTGTGATGCATGAGACGTGTCAAAGCAACACTAATTAGAGAATAATTTTTAGCTGAACCATTTCAAATTTTACGATGCAATTAATTAAATTAAAAAGGATTTTTTTTAACAGCGACCATAATTTACATAGCATTACATCTGCACTAATGCGTATCTTAGGCTGAGAGCAGTCATTAATAATCCTCATCACAGACGAGAACATGATAGTGATCTCACAGCACAAATCCTCATTTTCTCACTATACACTGCCCTCTGATCTTGGCTTTCGGCTCCTTGGAACCCCGTCCGCAAACACACCAGCACCCCTGCTCGGACAAAACAGATACCCCTCCAATCAGATTAAGCTACAGGGAGTTAAAGGTCTGAGATTAAACAAAAACACCTGAGCGAGGGTGAGGAGACGGGGCCAGGGAGCCGTAGTGTGTCCGGTTCAACCAGAGGAGAGACCAAACAGTGTAGCCCCCCTGGAGAGACAGTCATACTGAGCTGTTGACCTGAGCTGTGCCATTCCAAACATTCTGGGGGGAGAGTCCCAGTATCTCCATCTCACTCTGTACGGAACTCTAACCAGAAGGGTTATGCAAACAATGGTGGTATTTATTATGATGCAATTGCATAATGACAAGTTGTTTCATACAAAGACCGCACTGGCCTAATTTTCTATGGATGAGGCCAGCGAAACGTCTAGAAAGCTTCTGGACAAAACCTCTTTGGCAAATCTTGTATAGATTTGCCTCTTACGAGATACATATCATTTGTGATTTAAAGGGATAGTTCACTTACAGTAAACTCCTGTATTGTCATGAATGATTTTTGGCCCATAAAAATCAACACTACTAAAGTCAACGTTTTGCACCCCATTGACTTTTATTGTGTAAGCAAAAATGTTTTTGAAATATTAACGAAATAACTAAATAGAATTGCATCAAGCAAAAAAGACCTTTTCTCTGAGAAAGTTAAATCTTAAAATAAGTTTTATCAGTATAATCAAAGTTCTGGACCCCATTGACTTTCAATGTATTCATTCATTTATTCCTTTTTAGCTTAGTCCCTTTATTAATCAGGGGTCACCACGAATGAATGAACCCATAATTATCCAGCATATGATTTTAAGCAGCTCATGCCCTTCCACTGGGAAACACCCATACACTCTCACATGCACACACATACACTATGGCTAATTGACTTTATTCAATTCACCTATAGTCTTTGGACTGTAGGGGAAACCGGAGCACGCGGAGGGAAACTACGCGAACAAGAGAACATGCAAACTCCACACAGAATTTCCAACTGACCCAGGCTCGAACCAGCAACCTTCTTGTTGTGAGGTGACGGCACTACCCACTGTGCCGCCTTCAATGTATTCATTTAAGTTTAAAGATGGAAAGAAATACTTTCTTTCATATTTTGAAGCTTTCTCTGTGACTTTTGACCATATAATTAAAGTAAAAATTTTGGACCCCATTTATTTCATTGTACGAGCAAAAACGTTTTTAGGATATTAAATACAAATTTTTCATTTAAGTTTAAAGATGGAGAGAAATGCTTTCTTTCATATTTGGAAAACAAACAAAGAAATAATGAAGCTTTTCTCTGTTATTTTTGACCATTTAATCAAAGTCAACATTTTGGACCCCATTGACTTATATTGTATATGCGTTTAAAGATGGAAAGAATTATGTTTTTTTCATATACTTCTCTGTGATTTTTAACTATATAATTAAAGTCAAAATTTTGCACCCCATTGACTTTCATTGTATAAGCGAAAATGTTTTTAGAATATTAAATAAAAAACAACATAGAATCTTAGATCTTCATTTAGGCTTAATGATGGAAAGAAACACTTTCTTTCATATTTGGAAAACAAATGAAGAAATCTTGAAGCATTTCTCTGTGATTGACCATATAATCAATGTCAAAATTTTGGACCCCATAGACTTTCATTGTGTTTTTTTAAAATGTACTTTTCATTTTGTTCCACAGAACAAAGAATGCTTGGAAAGCAATTCTGAATCAGGAACATATTAAGCAAAAGACATCAGTATCCTAAGGTAAATTTATTACAGGTTTTTAAATAAATATTTTCATCATTAAAATTATTTTACACATCCTCAAATAAAAATATATTTATATTTGTATAAAAAAACAGACAAACAAAATGCAACAAAGAACAAAAGCTTTTTCCTACAGTCCATACAATGCATTTATACACCTGGGAATTTACAGTTTAAACCACGGTAGGAAACCTGCGATAATCAAAAATGTAGCTGCCACATTTAAATATGTATTTAAAGCTCTGTTTGCTTTAACCGTGTTTATCTCCAGAGAGTTCCAGAATCAAGAACCAGAGAGGTTACTGAGAGATGAGCTGGGTATCTTATCGCTGGGTGGTCGAGAGGTGCCCCGGCTGCTGCCTGTGTAACCGAATACAGCCTTGTGTTGTCAGTGCATTCTCTCTCAGGCCCTTCAAGTCCCCTTGAGCAGCAATACGAAGAGTTATAAATTACTCGGAAACCATCGAAATCAAAGCAGAACGAGAGAGGATAGACGGATGAAGTCCACGTACTACTAAAATGTCAGCGCTTACACATCCTGTGCTTCGCTTACCTATAATCTTACACAGGTCAGTACTAAAAGTCAGGGGTACAAAAATAGATCTCTTTTTTTTCTTGAGACTTTTTTTCTCTCCTTATTTTTGTTATTTCTGAAAATTCATAAAAAACTAAAGGTTAGGTATATTGTTGCTCAGTACAAAAATTTGTTAAGAAGTCCACAAGAGGAGTTCATTGTTTGAGAAAGTCTCTGGCTTTCGGTCCTCTCCTTTTCTCTGGCTTCACTCTTCAACGCTCTCCTGAGTAGCGGGTGCGTTTAGTCCGTCTGTTGAAAGGGTAGTTGATGAAATCAAAGGGTCTGTGCTCTGCGATTTGGTGTCCCTTGGGCAACCTCTTCATGAAGTGGACTTCCCGCTGGTGTTGCCTGGTTTTGGAGCCCTTGCGGGGTCTACCTTTACGCGTGAAGGCCATGTACCAGCCTTCGTACTTCACATTCTGCAGAGCCGTGTAGTTGTTCTCCAGGACTATCTCTGTGAAAATGCAGTCTTTTCCCAGACCATTTTTCTGTGAGGACAAGACACAGACAAAATTTGAGCTCCTGACTGATAGCAAATATGAAGCTTATCGAAAAATATTTTGGAAAATGTCTGCTCAGGTTTACATAGGGCTTCCCCACACGCACACAGCATATGCTTAAGTCATTATGATCCAAGATCAAGACGGCAGAAGCCAATGACTTTCCCCTTTCAGTAAACACCGGTGTGGATTCCTCCTCAGAGAAAAAAAGGTTCTTCTAACGTTCATTATAAAAGGATAAAATTGTATAATGTTTAGTGCAAAGAGTATTACGGTAATATTTGAATTTCTCTAGGATGCTGAAATTAAATTTGTTTAATAGCATCTATGGTTCCATGAAGACGTTTCATCATTCTCTAAACATGCATTTCTTTCTACAAAAGGTTTTACAAATATTTAAAAAATTACATACAGTTGAGTCATAATTATTAGCCTTTCTTTTATTATTATTATTATATATATATATATTTTATATTTCCCAAATTATGTTTAACAGAGCAAGGAAATTTTCACAGTATGTCTGATAATATTTTTTCTTCTGGAGAAAGTCTTATTTGTTTTCTTTCTGCTAGAATAAAAGCAGTTTTTAATTTTTTAAAAATCCATTTTAAGGTCAAAATTATTAGCCCCTTTAAGCTATATTTTTTCAATAGTCTACAGAACAAACCATCGTTATACAATAACTAGCCTAATTACCTGAACTTGCCTAGTTAACCTAATTAACCTAGTTAAGCCTTTAAATGTCACTTTAAGCTGTATAGAAGTGTCTTGTCAAATATTATTTACTGTCATCATGACAAAGATAAAATAAATCAGTTATTAGAGATGAGTTATTAAAACTATTATGTTTAGAAATGACTTGAAAAATTTTCTCTACATAAAGTAGAAATAGGGGAAAAATAAACAGGGGGATAAAAATTCAGGGGGGCTAATAGATTTGTCTTCAACTGTATATATTTTATGAAATGTTCACTGAAAAGTTCCAAAATGGCTGAATCTATATGAAACCGCACTTTTAGAATCTTTGTTTTTAATAATGTATCAATATTGCTTCTAAAATTAACCCCACTTCATTTAACGTTCATAACAACAGGACCCTTAAACGTCATCCAGCCAGTAAAGCTAAATGGGGTAAAGAGCCAAGCCAGGAGTCCAAACCTTTCCCCAGCCTCTTAACAAAATGGTCTGGTAAAAATCTCAAATCCAAAAGACTTGCTTATCAACCAATAAAAAACAACAACAACAGAAAAAAAACTCTCTCATGCAGGCTGTCGTTGGGCGGCCAATATGTCAGATAGCATAAGATCAGGGGTGCCAAGCAGATGGTCCACCTGGTAGGGTGCTGGGAGGTGGGGGCCGAACCTCCATCCCACTTTATTACCATTCACAGCAAGGAGAAGGCACAAATCCACATTGGAACAAGAGTAGCCAGCTAAAAAAAGGAAGAAAGATCCCATTCTTCAAACTCGATTTTACCTGCTGCAACCAGAAGGTGTCTAGTGCCAACTAACAAATAAAACATATAAATTTGATGGATGTTTTGAATAATCATCTTAATTAAATCAGAAATGTCTCATCTACAAACTAATGAATGCTGAAATTACTACATGAGCTTATGAGTGACGTTTCTGAATTAATTGATCTTTTTTTTCCCTTTCTAGGTGGGATTCTTCTCATGCATTCAAAATCTTGCGGTATGACTGAAGCATATGCTGTGTTTGGGATGTCAACTGAACAGTTTTAGTAAGTCACAAAAGTGATGACTTTTTCACATACCTTGCCAATCAGTTTCCCCCTCCTGTTCATACAGATGTAAAAGCCTGTTTCAGCTCCTTTAATTCGAACTCGACTCCCAAATGTGTCCGTCTCTACTATAAGCTTGGCTATAAAAAGAAAAGAAGATTTTATTAGACGTTGTGACTTTGTGGAAAATTGAATTACATTTCAAAAAGGAAAAGTTCAGGAGTAAACACACATGCGCATATGCACAAAGAGATATGCATACATACGGGCATAAATATGTGAAATCCGAAGGGACTACTCTTTAGGATTTATGTAAGCTTAAAATCTAGCAGAATGATAAAAACATGTGCACTTCAATTCTTCTGGAAGGAACCAAAGGCTTTCTGGCAGGGCTTTAAACTTTTTACCTTTTATGCAAGTACATAAACAACATGTGAATTGTTATCACATGTCACCCACATACCAACAACTTAAATAAATAATTAAAATAAATAAATAATTAAAATTATTATGAAGTTTTTGAGTTAAATGCGATTTTTCTATTAAAAACATCACATTTGATTTATTTATTATTATTTATTTTCTTGTTAATTATGGAATTATCGTTTCTTATAGGGAACACCCAGAGCAGGGTTTGAATGGAAACTGACTTTCCATGATATATATTCTCCATGCCAAGAATTAGCACTTGCAGCCATTCTCTGATTCAGCCCCCGTACTCTGAGTGATCGTAAAGAGTTACGGTTCAAACGGAGGGGGTCAGATAACCTGCTGGTAAAGAGCCTAACCACAAGCCCAGAGCAGGAGCCAGGCACTGGCTCGAACTAACAGCCCTGCTGTCTCTACAACATGCTCAGGTGACATGGATGTCACCAAAACCACGCAGGACTAGAGCCAGCCTTCCAAAAATACCATAACAGAGCTGGTGTTTTGGGGCTTTTTATACATCGCATAAAAGAGAGCTGCAATTGAAAGAGATCTGATTTAAGGAACCAATTAAATAGATTTAATTACAGTTGTTTATCTGGTTCATTTATTTGTGAAGTGATTTAAAGAATGTCTGTATGGATTATAATTAAAAAAGCTAATAAAAGGTTTAATCATTGATGTGTAATTTAAAAAACAATCCTAATTAATCCAAGAAATACTTGAAAACAGACAGATTAGGTATTTAGGCTCAATGAGATGTCTGTCAGCAGGACTGAATGACCATAGAAAGCAACCGCAAGGGTCAGAATTCGGCTAGACATATTTTCATCCTGAGCTGGTCTGGAGAGGAGGGAACGTCTTCAGGAAATGTTCAGAAGGTTGAAGTAAGATGAGTTCTAATGGCTCTTCCAGACCTGCACGTCTCTCTAGAGACTCACCTTCAAAAATCTACAATCCATTTAACATTTTTTTGCACTGCATTGCTTTTTTTAACTTCACCAACTGACCAGATGCCCAGCAATTCAAATGCAGTGAATCATAAAGATCCACAAAATAAAATAGCGCAAATAAAGCTCAGTTTAGAATCAGAAATGTTTCATAAAGAACTTTTCAATTCTGAAGATCTTAATCAATGTATTATATCTTTGAATATACTGAAGCCTATAATAACCTGCTATAATATAGCTTTATGTCTCCAACTGAAAATAAAAATGTTAATTTAACACGGAAAACGTATTTTAAAAATTCCTCAAATCTCCTTTGTGTTTGAAGGGTAGTGTGATCAAATTTCATGCTGTTGTGTAAGATAAATAAATAGGATGCTCTTACCATGAACGTCGCCATCTTCGGCCATGGCGTTGATTTTCTTGTTGGCCAGAACTTGCACGTGCTTGCCACTGGTTCGGCTGTAAAGCTGGTAGGTCCGGATTAGTCTACGGCTCACCCGGTCCGTCACCTTACTTTGCTCACTCACATGCTGTGTAAAATTAGGCGGGGACTGAATGGTTACCTGTCAGAAATTAAATACCATATAGTCAATACCTGCACAAATTGCTTCATCATTCGTTCAAACGGGCCTATACATTACGCTATTCTTCATATAGGTTAATTATTTATGAGCTAATCACTTAAAATAACGCAAGCGTAATACATGCGTAAACTGTTCAATTCATCAAGACGCGCTATTTACAAGTCGCGCTGTTATATTCAGAAAAGTTCATTTGCGGCTTAATAGAAAGAGGTTTCATGCCAATCGCGTTTAAACGCTTAAATTGAACATTTTATGTCATCGTGTCCCCATGTTTCATCACTAACTCAAGGCTGGCATACTTCACGCGCTCATGCCCACGCGCTTGTGCCAGTATGCTAGTGTTACCTGCCAGATTACAGCGCCCACTGTGATACCCATCTGATAAGAACATCCTCTCCTATCGCACTTGTAGTGCCTTTTAATTTACATAGCCAATATATGTACAATACATCTATATTTACACTCTTAAAAATACAGATCATAAATAAAATAAAGGCCATATAATTACAATTCTGGCTTTCCCAACATATTTTTTCTTAAAAATAAATAATCTACAGACGCATTTTTGAAATGGAGAGCTTCCAATGATGTTAAAGGTTTTTTATTGAACCAATAATGCCAATAAAGAACCTTTGTTTTTCATAGAGCAAATAAAACACACATCTAAATTTAGCAGCGCGTGCCGATGCTTTAGCATTTCGGAATCGATATTTGAGAGCAATGTTTCTCCAGCAATATATGTAGGTAAATTTCAACAGCATGCATAAAAGATTTAATAAAATGACATTAATAGCATATTTAAAGATATTGCACATACCTGAGCATAGTAGCAAAACGCAAAGAGGTGAAGGAATCTGCAAGAGAGAAAATCTCACGTTAGTCTTTGGAAAGCAAAGCTGTTAATGCGCGAAAAGGAATATTAACGGAATATATACTTACAGATAACTCAACCGTGAAGGTATGAGTCTCATGTTTATAGCCTCAGTAAAAAAGTGATTAAAAATAAGTGTATATAGAATAATATCAGGTTTTCCAGCTCAAATGTGTAAAGTCCTGCGTTTGTATCCACACTGTGACTCGCAACATATGATGAACAGGTCAACTGGCAAATTACAAGATCTGTTGCTGCTCAGAAGCAGAAAGAAATGTCCAAGGTTTTTTTCAGACTGACACCGCTGACAAGTACATGCACTACCTGCATTTCCTTCATTACAACGAGAACAACAAATAAGTGCACTTTACGCAAAACTCGCGGCATGTAAACGATTTACTTTTCAAGTTTAAGCGAAAGCGCCTCTGATGCGCCTGTAATCATGCAGCCCGAGGAAATCCCGAGCTGTCCATGAAGGTGAGGAGCGCAGCACAAATAGATCCTTTGACGTTTGATCCAGTGAGTCCTGTGTGAGTGTCAGTCAGAGGAGGCAGGACAGTGCATCTGATGAGCTTTCTTCAAGAAGCAGTGCTGCTGGACTCTCTTATCCCCTCCTCTTCTCCCATTGCCAGTCAGTCTCCAATGTCAACCCCGCTCGCGCTGACACCCCTGGTTAAAATGGTAGGGTTGGTCCTGGAGGAACAAGCCCCCTTTTCAATAGAACAAAAGCAGGGGGGTCTCACCCAAACCCCCACCCTGAACCACTTTTAAATATTCCTTCACCTGAGTCCAGAAGCACTCGGAGAGTTTAGAGGAGCGAACGTTCATAGTGGGTTACCAAAATGCAAAGTTATTTGCAATCGGGATAAAAAACGAGCAACACATTGAAATGTATATTCATAAAAATGCATATGTAAACATGCATATGATCATCTAAGCCTTCAAAAATCAATCATCAAGTTGATAAATTCAGTTAATTCTGATTTCAAAAGTGAAACCGAGGCTATTGTGCAAGGCTGCAGACTGCAGAACTGGTTTGCTTTTGACTTGTGTATTGCCAAAGGAAAGTGTGAGACATATTAAAAGGATTACAGACGATTAGCGTTTTTTTTCCTCAAAAGAAAAATCCCTAAAACATCAGAAGGATAACACAGGTGTGAAGTGTCCCATTTCTTGCCAGGCCACAATGCTCTTTAAACTCACATAAACGTCTGTCATTTAATGGCTGTTATTTCATGTTACACTTAATACTTAATAAAACGCATTATTAAATTACTCAAAAGTCATTGTAAAAACAACTACACGTAGGCTAAATGTAATTAGGCTAATTTGAAGATATTTAAATGCATTTAACCCCAAACTGGTAGCCTAATAAAATAGTCTTATTTTAAGAACGTAGAACGGCCATTTAGTCAAGCAAAGGGAAGATCAAATCGATCAATCTATTTCTAATCGGGACTAATTAAATGTCAACATAAGTCAACTCCACCCTCTATTATGATACTCTTCAAAAAAAAAAATAAAAAAAAAAGGAAAAAAATACATCAGAGTGATTTCTAATGGGCTACCATCACTCAAAAGATCGCCCCTTATTTGCGGGTTTTCAGATCCTCATGGCCCACGCCCGTCAAATGAAATGTTGCAGATGAGAAGATGAATAACTAAGTGAAACTTATTTGATCAACAATTTATTAAATGCCTCTAGTAAATGGCATGATATCAGAGCGCTGGTTTTATTATTTATGTGCACAGCCAGTCACTAAAAACAATATCTTTATGCGATCTCATAAAACTCTCAACTAAGCACTAATTTGAGGAATATGAGTTGTGAAAATATATCCCAAGAAACAATACTTTGTACCACAGGAGGGCGCTATTCTAAATTGTAGCAGGTGTAACATAGACTAATTATATATTTTAAGAATTAAGGCCAACAATTAAGAACACGCACTTATATTGTTATGTATTTTTAAATTTTTCATTATGTGTTTTTTTTTTTTTTTTTTTTTACACAATTCCAGTCTGTTTACTACTTTAAATTGCAACTATTTATAAAAAATGATTAGGCTACTCTGGAAATGTAAAATAGTTTTAGTTAAAAAATATTGTTGGTTGCACTATTTGTATTTTATTAACACTATTTAGAGATAATGGGTAAAATTTGTAAACTAATTTGTGGTGCATTACAGTATATTCATGACTGAGTTAAAGATTTTTAAACAAAATATATTAAAGTGCATTATTCTTGATATTCTATACAATTAAAGACTCATATATACATTTATGTTCATTAAAATAAACATTAATATATTATGTTAATTACACCATTAATTATATCAATCATAAATAAGCCTATGCAAAACACAAATACAACACTAAGCAAAATGTTTTAAATATATGTTCTAAATTCAACAATTAATGTAAATATATTTTAATGTATTTATTATTTTAACGTTAATTTATAACAATTTCATTGTATATTATCCTATACATTTTAATGTTAAATTAATAGTTTAAATGCAATGTTAAATTTGAATGTTAATGTTAATTTTAATGAAAAAATAGATGAATAAATTCATTTAATGGTTTGTGTTCGGTGACACAGTGGCTCAGTGGTTAGCACTTTCGTCTCCGGGTCGCTGGGTCAGTTGGCTTTTCTTTTACTTTTTTTAAAGATTTACTTTGCAGTTTTTTTGACAGTTAACTAACAAAATAACAGAGAAAATAACAGTACAAATAGCACACACACACACACACACACACACACACACACACACACACACACACACACACACACACACACACACACACACACACACACACACACACACACACACAGTTAAAGTCAGAATTAGCCCTTGTTTAACCTTTTCTCCCAAATTCTGTTTAACGGAGAGAAGATTTTCTCAACAAATTTCTAAACATAACAGTTTTAATAACTCATTTCTAATAACTAGTTTATTTTATCTTTGCCAAAATGACAGTACATAATATTTGACTAGATATTTTTCAAGACACTTCAATACAGCTTAAAGTGACATTTAAAGGTTTAACCTGGGTAATTAGGTTAACTAGGCAGGTTACGGGGATTAGGCAAGTTATTGCATAATGTTCTGTAGACTATCGAAAAAAAAAAAAAAGCTTAAAGGGGCTAATAATTTAGATCTTAAAACGTTTTTTTTATTTTTTTAACTGTTTATATTTTAGCCAAAATAAATCAAATAAGACTTTCTCCAGAAGAAAAAAATATTATCAGACATACTGTGAAAATTTCATTGATCTGTTAAACATCATTTGGGAAATATTTAAAAAAGAAAAATAATTCATAGGGGGCTAATTATTCTGATTTCAAATGTATATATAACAGTACAAAATTGATTAAAAGAATAAAAACAAACCACATATATAATTCTCATATTGTGCAACAAACAGAATATAATGTGGATTTCAGATGATGTGCATTCAGTTTACAAATTAAGCATATAAACAGGTCAGTGCCGAAAGTTGACATTGGCAGCAGGGTGTTTTAGGTAAAATAAATAATAATAATAATTAAAAAAAGAAAAAATTAAAAGAGAGAGAAAAGTGGAAAAATATTAAACTGAATTTTTAGTTTTATGTCAAGAAGAGTTGCATGCTTGTGCTTTATCAACAAGTACTCATTTGTAAGGTACAAACTAAAAGTGAAAGATGAGCAGCCATTCATTAAACATTAACTGCTTCAAGTTTCAGAGATTTGACATGCTCCAAGAATGGCAACAAAAATGTTAGAAAACTTGATCACTAAACCTCGAAGACTATTTTATTCTTTCTAATTTAACAAAAAAAGGCATCTTTAATTCATTGAGGATGGGATGGGGGTTGAGGAGACTTCCACTGCAACAAAATACACCGCCTAGCTAATAATGACATTGGCATTTCTGTATCGTATTGTATGAGTGTGTGAATGAGTGTGTATGGGTGTTTCCCAGTACTGGGTTGCAGCTGGAAAGGCATCCGCTGGGTAAAACCTATGCTGGATAATTGGGGGTTCATTCTGCTCTGGCGACTCCTCATAAACAAAGGGATTAAGCCGAAGGAAAATGATGAATAGTTTTTTTATATATTTATTAGGCCATCTTTGTTTTCCCTATGGAATTGTGGATTCCTATAGTCGTTTGTATGTCTAGTCTCCCCATTAACAATTCTTTACAGATTTTCCCCACGCATGCTAATTTGCGATTAATTGTAAAGTGCAACTGATCTGTGCAGTAAGACACAAATACCTGCAGATATTTGTGCTTTTTAATAGAGACAGTTCCTCATGCGTTTTCATGGTACGGTCTCAGGACATAACATGTTTTCTTTCCTTCTTTTTTTGTGTATACACTGGGCTTGCTGTTTAAGTGGACCGATATTAATGGAGCATTGAAAAGTCAACCATCTCATTCCATGGCTGAGTACTTCAGCATGGCCTGAGGCAGATCTGGCCTCCTGGTTAACTCTGTGTTTAACTGTCTGTTGCTCATTGCCTGATCAACAACAGGATGACTAATCTGAAGATAAGCTGTCAACGTGCTGTACACATCTGCACAAAAACACACACAAAAAAGATCAGAATAAATATCTGGAAATATCTCTCTTAAGTGTAGCGTGGATATCATCTGAGAGTTTTAAATGCAGTAATCACTATTAAACCAGCACAGAATTATGCTAATTCATTGCAAATTGGATTTAAAAAGTCCCTAATGCAAGGCCGCTGCCAACAATTTGGTATATCTTCTCGCATTAAATGTTCAATTGAAAATGGCACTTTTGGTTAATTTTATATGGCTAAAGCGTTCTGATTCTGCTTTTAAAATGTATCTGTTTTGATGGATTGGATCTGTAAAGTAAGAGAGAGGGAGAAAGGAGAGAGAAAGGCAGATATGTGGAGGCTGGAATGGCAGTCCTGGAAAGCACATAGCTCTCCTGAAGTGTTGACAACCATGTCTGATGTGGGCAAGGTGCCAGAGTGGAATTACTGGAATAACTGACATTTTTTTCAGCCTTGATGGCAGTTGTAGTTTTTCTTTCTGTCATTGTTTCTTCCTTGCCTTTCTATTCATTCAAAGTATTAAAACTATGAAAATATGTAAAAGATATACAGCTTTTCACTTTTGTATTGTGTTCAGAATCTAAGTTTGATTATGTTGTGGGTCAAACTGCGTTGGTTCAAGAATGTACATCACCAAACAACACGGTATGATAATCATACAAAATTAGATATGAAGTGTATTTTGAGTATTTTGAAATGCTATTTAACAGGTATTAGTAAACAGACCGGCCTCCTCCTAAAAATATTTGATAATTAGTATTAAATTCATTCATTCATTTTCTTTTTGGTTTAGTCCCTTTATTAATCCGGGGTCGCCACAGCGGAATGAACCGCCAACTTATCCAGCATATGTTTTACGCAGCGGATGGCCTTCCAGCTGCAACCCATCTCTGGAAACCATCCATACACACTCATACACTACGAACAATTTAGCCTACCCAATTCACCTGTTCTGCATGTCTTTGGGCTGTGGGGGAAACCGGAGCAACC